GCAGAAGATCATTTTATTAGATTTTTTTTTACCTCAAATAATTTGCTAAAACCTTTTGATTAGACAATATTAACTGACAAATTTATTAACGAAAAGCTCGAGATTAATTAACCGACTGAAAAAAAATGATGTGCCGTTTTCAGTCAGAGACACTAGATGTCGCTGTTTTACTATTTTTGCCAGGAGGTTAGAAAGGGTTCTTATTCAAGTCTGTGTACTTCTGGCTTTTATTTTGCAAGAAGAAAACTAATTTGTTGGCTTCATTATATAGATCTTTATGTTAAACACTGTTTACAGCTTAATATAAATTTAATTTATCTTTAATAGCTGATTGTCCCTCACATGTTAATGTTGAAAAAAATGTTTTGTTTACTGAATAATTAAGCCTTTAAATGTTATATAATAGAACGTAACAGTTAGCATAAGTAGTTAAAGAGTATAATGCACTGATAAAAGGCAGATTTAATCCMTTTTTATTTAGCTGTTATTCAACCAAATAATCTGGATTTTACCATGGTTTTAGAAGAATTACATCACAGGAGTAATCAGAGATTAACCTCAGGTAAAATAACTGGATGATGAAGGAGTTCACTTTATGACCTGAAACACATGAGGAGTCATGAGTCTGTCTGCAGCTGCTTCAGTCCAGTGGAGGGCAGGATGACGGTGTTAGACYGGGATTTTTAATCCTCAGAAAGCTTTAATCCCACAGATGGGCACATCTGTCCCAGGTCTGACTCATCACTTCYTAGACATCAGACTGAGACAACATGACTCAGCAAAAAACACTGGTACATCCTTTATACCATTAATCCGGACAATGTTATAAATTATAGAAGGCTACATTTACTGGTGGTCTAAACTACACCAGATAATGCAAATGTGTGTATTTGCAACTTTGGTTTTAAAGTTATATTTTTGTGTGAATAAGTCTTRCCATCGAAATTAAATTATTTTTGCCAAACACTAAAGTGAAATTCAGCCTGGTGTAGTGTCTATTCAAACTTTGATAAAAGTAAAGCAAAAAAGTTTTTTTTTTTCATGACTTCTGACTTAATCTCACAATTCTGACATTTTTTTTCTTTCCAGAAGTTTCAGATAAAAAGCATCCTGTTTTAGAATTCTGAGATTAAAGCCAGAATTCTGATTTGTAATTCTGAGATTAAAGTCATAAATTAGATTTTTAGAATTTTTATTTATATCTATTTTTTCAGTCTTCATCTTGTTCTGTATTAGATATTATTTTGTTTCTCCTGTTTCAACAGTATAGCTAACATATGTATRATTTTACATTTAAAAGAACAATTTATGATGTCGTAGGTCTTATTTCAACGGTTGCTTAGCAACAAGCTCAGAGGACATCGCTGGTCACTGGTAACTTGTTTGTGCTCCTCGCTTCAGTTTTTGTAAGGATTAAAAAATGTCAAATGTTAATTAGTTGGCTTTGGAGGTGCTGATAGAGGGATTATTTTAGCTGTTTGTGTTAAGTTTTTGTGCAAGGCTTTCTAAAAATAATTTAACTTTTTTTTTCTTTAGAGAAAAAATGCAACTTTTCACAATAAAGGGATTTTCCAATTTGGCTGTTGCTGCAGAGTGTGGCTTTTACAGCACCTGTCCTTTTGGGTTAGCTGCAAAAAGCCTTGTGAGATTATTCAGCAGGATATAGTCCCTGCAGATTATAACCTCACTCGTGTCGCTGTAATCCCAAAGTCCTCTGAAAAAAAAAATGGAATTCGTCCCCTAAAATGACAGCACTTGGAAAAGATTTTCTAATTGTTTGGCTTCTGATAAATGTGATTTATATCACATTACGTCACATCTGAGCTCAGACCAGATTTTTATTATGTAATAAAATATTCCTCACATCACCTGTTGTCATACATTTTATTTTTTAAAGAACTTTTTAAAGATTAAATGAAGTAGTGTCAAAGTGACGCTGTAGCTATATTTAAGTTTCTTCTGTAGCTCTTTAATTAAACATTATCTTCCAGGTTAGAATAATTACTGGACGTTCAACCGTGATGGGGATTTCACTTTTTAATTGGCCGCATTTTCAGCCTGGTGTGTTCTTCAGACCTGTAACAGCTCTGAAGTTTTTCACACTTAGATCAAGTTTCAACACCATCAGGTCAGTCAGAACCAGAGAAGAGACTTTATTTCTCTRTGTTCTAATGGAAAACTGGTTTTATTTAAAGCAACCGGAAGTCTGCAGCTTTCTGTGACTCTGCCTCTCTTCTGCCTCTTCTGTCTCTGGCCTTTAAATTGCTTTCTGGAGGCATGGGATTTTGGCCGTGGAGATAAGGGGAACAGGATGAAACACTCTCCCTGGCTGTCTATCTCTGTCTCTCTCTCTCTCTCTCTCTCTCTCTCAGAGGCAGAGAGAGAACAACATAACGATTCGAGCTCATCCCTCGGGTCGGCGAGGCTGAGCCAAATATCTTCCCGAACAGTTTTCTAACCACCGCCGTCGAAACAAACGAACAGCCGTGTGAACGAAAGATGTCGGCCGATTCAGACGAGAAGCCGTCCGTCCGTTCGAGCAGGGGTTCTCCTCCTCGTTGCTCTCCCTTTTTTCCAAGTCGATGAGGTCCTGAAGGGTCAATCTGAGCTCTCAGACCTGACATGCTTACATAAGTCGTCAGTGTGTTGCTGTCTCCACCAGAGCAGGCTGCATGGATTATTGATGCTTCCCCAGAGCGAGGCAGAGACATAGAGCATGAGCCATGTGTTTTATTATTATTCTACTTACTGCACAGGGTTTAACACTGTCTGATTGGTTGTTTCATGGTTTGAAGACATGGGGATTCCCTCTTTGCAAACTTTAAGCTTTCATTTTTAGGCGTGTCGCCTCCGTTCCCTTTCACTTCCTCACCTCCTGCCTCCTTGGTTCTCCACAGCTCGCTGTCCACAGACGTGTGTATTTCAGACTCCGTGCCATGTGGATTAGCATATTAATGGGATGTCCTCTTTGTATCCGTTTTCTGTCACTTAAATTTCACAGCAGCAGAGGGACGAGGCAAGGCGATACAAACGGGAGGGGAGGACGAGGGAGAGGCGAAAGCCGCCGCCCTTCCTCACCTCTGATGCCTTGCGTGTCCACGCACTCGTCAGGAGGACACGCCCCAGGCATCACGTCCTAACACGCCGCCGACGCTTGGAGTTTTCTAAATCGAATTCTCGCCCGAACCACTTATGGCAGGGGTGTCAAACTCCAGTCCTCGAGGGCCGCTATCCTGCATGTTTTAGAGGTTTTCCAGCTCCAACACACCAGATTCAGTGATTGAATTAACTCTTCAAATTGGGCAGAAGCCTGTTAATCACCCAGCGATCAAAATCTGGTGTGTTGGAGCAAGAAAACCTCTAAAACATGCAGGATAGCGGCCCTCGAGGACAGGAGTTTGACACCCCTGACTTATGGTAACTGAGCCCCATCACCTGAAAGTAAACAACAAGAAAAATAAATCCCTGACCTTATTATAATGCAGCTCAAGAGTTTGTTTTCCAGAATGGAGAACCTGAAGGTATACATGCACTCTCTGACTCTTTTTAAAGGAGAAGCTTTTGCTCCTGGCTGGTTTCATCTAAAAGAAAATTGCTGAATGTCTTCAAGTATGTGAAGTGCAAAATTCTTTTTAAATTATGACTTGTTTACCTTGTTTATCTCTGTCAGACTAATTGAAAAGCTCTCTGTTAACTGATCCCTCTACGATCGTATCCTCACATAAGGTCACAAACTCTGGGTCGGGATCGATAGAACGAGATAAAAATGGTTGAAATTAGTTTTCTCTGCAGAGTTGCTGGGCCAGCTGCTTCTGGTGTTATCAGTCCATTAAATGGACGTTATTAGTGGTTATCAGTCCCATAGAATGGCTTCAGACTGTCCTGACAGTGCCCCCTAGTGGGTTACCAGTGCCGTATACGTTGGAATGCAACAATCTGCTACCGCCGGAGTCCGGTCTACTTTATCGTAGCCCATGTCATTTTCTCTAAAGTTAACCTTAGTGACTTTATGCTTCATATTAACCAGATTGCATAAAAAACCTTAGTGGTTTTATGCCTCATACTAACCAGATGACAGACTGAAGCCATTCTATGGGACTGATAATGGCTAATAACGTCCATTTAATGGATGACAACATCCAAAGTGGGTGGCTGGGCTCTCCTTCAGAGATAGGGTGAGACTTTAGATCGTCTCGGGGAAACTCTGAGTAAAGTCGCTGCTCGTCCTCGTCATGAGGAGCCGGTTGAGGTGGTTCAGGTAAGGATGTCCAGCTATAGGCAGG